AGTCACCGAAACCTCTAGCTCTAACAGACTCAAGAAAGGCAATGTTGTCTTTACTTAAGAGCTGCAAAGGATGTTTATGGAAAATGCAGACAGACTACGACTGTAAATACATGATTCTTGATGAGTTTGATAGTGGAAAATAAAAATCCACTTTCTGGTCACCCCACTGAAGTAGAAACTGGGAATTCCTGGAGTTCTAGTCCTGACTCTGACACTGATTTATGTAGCCTTGGGCAAATTGTGCAATTTTACCAGCTTTGCCTATGGTCACTAACTTTGCCCATGTTTCAACTGAAAACATACCATGTTTATATACTCTGTTGTTCTGAATATATGATGCCCCTTCCTCTTGGAAGAAATATAGCTGCAGCTGCGTGATGGCTGGGCAGGTTATGGTAATTGGCACTGTCATTCAGCAGTGCAATTTTAATGTATGTGGGTACATTTTTTTCCATTTGGGGGCAGTATACACAGAGCTGCAGGGCACCACTGCCATGGCATGGGATGGCATGGCATGGACAGGTGGTGAGTGTGAAGGGAAGCTCCTGCCTGCAGGAGGAGTGGATGTGGGGTTTATGGGTGGGTATAGTGGTGTGTGTAGGTGGGGGTGTGGTTTGTGGGTGGGTGTGGGGCCCCTCCATGGTGCAGAAGGCAGCAGGCTTTTGAAGCATTCATGGCCAATGGCAAGCAGAGCCCCCCAGCAGCACATGGCTGTGCCTGAAGCCTGGGAGATGCATGTGGTGGCACAGAGCTCGCCTGGCCCAGCCCAGCCTAGCCCGCTGGTATGTACCTTCAGTCAGACTGGACTTGCTCCATACCAGCACGTGGGGCTCCTGCCACTGCAGGTGGAAGCCACATGCCATCAAGCTGGGCTGCCTCCATGCCTTCACATGGCGCTTCCAGCACTTCAGTGGAGAGCCAAACGTGGAGGCATGGAGCCTGCCTGACCCAATGGTGCATAGACTGGGAGCCACAGGGAGTTGTGCACCATGAGCACCATGAGGGCCCACTGCCTGCTGCTCCAGCTGCCACTGGCAGCAGGGGTTGTGCGCCCTGGGGGGTATGCACTCCACACCCCCACAAACCCCACACCCATCCACAGACACATTCAAGGCACTTCACAAACTCCATACCTACCCACACACCTATTTTGAGCTAGTATGCAATCACCTCTATATGCACTATGCAAACACAAGTAAATCAGGACATTTTTTTTTAATAAAATTAAAATATGTTATACTAGACGTTTGACTTTTTAGTATATGATTTGTTTCTTTTCCAGTTACAAGGTGGTAGACCACCCAAAAGGAGTACTTCTAGGGACAAGGGGAGGGACTTCTGGTGACAAAGGTCAGGGGTTAGGGTGGAATTTCCAGTCCCAAAATGGCAATCAGGGAGCAGGGTATCTGTGAAGGGACAGGGCTACCCATGTGGCCTCTGACAGTGCACCAAAAGTCATTAAGGAGCCCTCCAACTGAAATAATTGCCCACCCCTGCTATAAACTATTTATTCTGGGATAAAGTGATTGTACAGACAGCCATGTCTGTTGACCCAGGATAAATCCTAAAAAAAATTCCCAGATAAAAGGTAGTAACAGTTTATCTCAGGATATTGCAAAGTATGCCTGTACAGTTATCCCAGTGCTGCATCATTTAATCAATGGCAGAAAAGGGAAACCATATTCAGCCACTCACTAAACCCTGATTAGAAGTGCTCTATGTGTACACATTAATCCCAGGATATTTTTGTTCCAGGAAAAATATAGGCACAACTTATCCAGGGACAAATGCAATGTTTGTCCCTACCTTAACCTAAAAACAGACATCAATTTCTCTCAGCACAAGGACTCTTATTCTAGGATCTAACAGATGTATAAACCCATTGTCCCACTTTAAGTACCTGTGAAGTATCAAAGATAACACTTTTATCCAGGACAATCATGCCTAATTTGAGTTTACTGTCATTTGTAAAATCATAGTAAATTAGGGTTGGAAGGGACCTCAGGAGGCCTAGTCCAGTACCCTATCCCCAACTATATCATCCCAGTCAAGGCTTTGTCTAGCCAGGTCTTAAAAATCTCCAAGAACGGAGATTCCACAACCTCTTTGGGTAGCCTGTTCCAGTGCTTCACAACCCTCATAGTGAGAAAGTTTTTCCTAATATCCAACCTGAATTTCCCTTGAGCTCAAGCTGCATGTGTAAATGCCTGTCCCAAGGCTGTTTTGATAGGTGTCAAAGTCTGGGGCAATCAGACCTGGGCTAAACCCAACATCTGTTTTTACCCTTAGTGGTTTGCAGTTGAAATTATTGATTCCAAAGCTCCAGAAATTGGGAGGCCAGATTCATTCCTGGTGTGAGTCCATCAAACTCAATGGACATAAATAAAGGATGAATTTTGCCAAGCTATAGGCAAAACAGCAGAAATAGTGATAAAACAGAAAAATTAGCAGGGGTGTGTTGGCAAATTTTGAAGGGGGGAAAGGAAACCCAGTTTCCAATCATAATGTCTAAATGCAAATAGTTGACGGTCAAAAGCCTGAGGCTGAAACAATCCAATTTTCTCAGGTTTTAAGCTGCATAGATTGAACCAGACGACCTCCACCCTACAGTACTAAAGGAATTGGCTGAGGTCATTGCAGGACCCCTGGTGCGGCTTTACAAGCACTCGTGGTGCTCTGGTGTGGTGC